AAATAGCAATACTCTTACACGCACATAACACACAAATAAACTCAGTTCACACATGAACGCACGCACATAACACAACATTCACTCCTCTGCGTGCAAACAACTTTCCGAGAAGCTGAAAAATATCAGCGTCGGTCCCTATTGTACTAGATGTAGTCCAGGAATTAACCACTTTCGAAACTAACTGCGAAACCCCTTCCTTCAATAGGGCTTCTTACACTGGTGACTTTTGCATGGGTCTAGCTATATCAATGTAGCTGTACTGGTGGTGCAAACCTTTAGTGTAAATGCACCGTGCTAGGAGATGCAGATACATCATGTCTCCACCCGCCTTCTCACCCCTCAGACAATTCCTCAGTTTTCCCTCAATACTTTCTTCACACGCACCCACTCCGTCTGATACATACACATAAACACGCAGTCAAAACACCTTCAGACTAATCAAGCTATTTTGTCTACAGGCTGAGAAAGAAGAGTTTGTTTGTCTTCTATTTTAGATGCTTTGGAGGCACTCAAATATGATAGATAGATAGATAGATAGATAGATAGATAGATAGATAGATAGACTCACTGTAGCGTATACCCACAAAAGCACTTGGGAATAGTTAAATGTAAGTTAAACGTTATAGTATGGTGAGATCTGGGGAGGTGAAAACCAACATAAAATTCATTTGCCTTGAGAAAAAATGTTATTGGTCACTATTTTTGTTGCTGTTTCTTGCTTTATATTATGGGGAGCTAGTCTGATAACTACTCCGGCGCAATGATACAGGTCAGAGGATAGTGACCCGCAGTAATGAGCCTAATGGATAAAATAAAAGCCCCATTTTCCTCTTTTAACCAAATCGACCACTGCATAGTGAAAAATCGACTCTGACGTGACATCCACTGCGGGATAATTTGAAGGCTTCCCCCCAAATAAAGCAATCAAAAAGAAATTCTCACTGGTATTAATATTTTATTCATCCCCATGTTATTGTGTTTAGCCTGCGGTAAAACAGATTCATAGAAGTGAGACATTATGGGCCTGACAAGCGTTTTCCCATGAATCGCTACTTCAATACAATGGCATTTTGTTTGCTGTTTTGTTTCACTGTCCTCTAACATTCTTCCTGACTTCCAGGGTGGAGGAAAAGATTCTCCTCTATGAATAGGGAAGAATAGGAAAGAAAAGTTTCTTTTAAACTTTCAGCCTTGTTTAATTCTGGTACTTGATAACATGTAAACCTTCCCCCCGCTTCGCACCATCCCTGACTTTCCTTTGTTTTGAGCTGTTTTTGCTTCTAGCATTACTTCTGTCCTTACTGAGTCAGTAATTTGGAGAGAAAGCTGCACACAGCTCTCTGTCTCTCGAGCCTGTATCAGTAAACAGCCAGGCAGGGCACTGTCCCCAGCTCGGGTTGGCTGGATTTGAATTTGTGATCTAGACAAAAGGTCTCTTTTGGAAAAAGGCTACTGGGGACTCTAATTCTATTTGTGCCGCTTGGAAATCAGAAGGGGTTTTTCCACACTTCATTTTGATTCGATTATTTCTTATAGATGGTTTCGCTCTCCCCTCACCAGACGCGTGGGGGAAGGCTGCTGAAGCAGTTGGCCTATAGTTGCAATAATCAAATTAACCATTTGCTACAACTTTTAGGGAGAGCAGCTCGCGTGCAGAAAGAACAACTCGAAACAAAACCCAGGGGCCGGAGCCTGTCCGCCTCGGAGAAGCCCAGCGTGACTTTCATCTGCAGAGGAGAATCAAAACATCCACAAAAGATTTTACACTGGAAAAAAACACACACACACAAAACCCACCTCCCATAAATAAAGCCGCAGAACGGAGATAATTGAGTCAAGTGCATTTGCTCAGCGGACCGTAGATCGGCTGGAAGATCCGCCCGTGTAATGACTGGGCATGAGGAGCTCACCCCCCTCCGAGGCAACACCGTTTGGCTTTGCAGGGCAAAGGGGCTGGCTGGGGGATTGAAGGACGAGAGGGACAGGCCACGGCTGGCACGATCGGGGACAGAGGTGGGAATGGGGGAACGGGCAGAGCTGGCCCGATGGGCAGGGGTGTGCAGTGAGTTAGGCACCGCTGAGAACCCCCGGGCTGGCAGGATCCAGGCGCTGGGCTGGCCAGCGCATGGCGGAAGCGGGAGGGGGAACGCTCCCTGGCGAGCAGGCCGAAGCCAGACGGGACTCGAGCACAGAGCTGGCGAGTCTGGATCCGGGAAGGGGAGGGGGCAGGATTGGGCCGAGGACAACATGCAAGGGAAGCGCCTTCCACAGCGCTGGAGCAAGCGGGCTGGCACGGCTCGCAGAGCCGCAGGGACCGGTGTGGGTATGGGCAAGAGCCGAGGGCGAGCCATTGCCAGCGAGGCTCTCTGCAGGCAGTTCTGCACGCTCGGGACTGGTCACAGTCACTGCCCGGCGCGCTCATGCGGCTCCTAGGCTGAGGGGTATGATCACAGACCAGACAAGGGCCTGGCACACTCCACGCTGCATGTGTCTTTAGCGC